TCTATCAGCATATGCAATACTATGAATAAAATCTGTATAAATTCTCCACCCACTGAAGGAAAAGACACCCATAAAATTTAAATGGGTGGTACTCAGCATGTTTGTCACATTTCAGCTACTTCACCTTGTATGAAAGACCAATTTACAAACTGTCAAAGATAACCTCTATCTTACTTCTCTCATTTTGTCTTGGGCAAAATTGACAAGTAACTTATAAAGAAGAGACAATATACTTTGTAGGAAAAGTTACCACAGTAATTCCCGAGAAGAATGTGACAATAAGCTCTTTGACAATAATACTGTGCATCATCTGGTTTCTGTTCCAAAGCCTTAGTCAGCTCCTACAAATACAAACATGTTGAGTGTCAGTAAATGTTTTTTAAAAACCTTCAAATTCTATTTAAAACATGATTTTTAATCAAATACCTATAATCATAAGCTATTTGGAGGAAAGATAACAGAGAAATAAGCTTGGAGCTTTTCCTTGTAAGAAGATCAATATCTTCCCTTCTTCTCCTCTCCCTCCCCTCCCCACAAAAAGCACACAATATAATGTAATGTCTATGAACTAACTGTAAAGCACTTAGGAGTTCCTGGCCTACAGTAGGAACTCAACAAATGGTAATTATTATCACCTCATTTATTCTGTAGAGTTTAGTTGATATACATTGACCTTCACAGATTTTCTCCTTCTAATTTGGAGAAGACTCAAAGATCATGTAGAATTTGAGACGCCTAGCACATGTGAAGCTGTCCAATAAAAAAAAAACTGGAAGTTAAATCTAGAGCTCAGGGAGGTTAACAGAATCAAATACACAATCAAGCTTACCTGGCCCTCTTCTATTCTCTGTCAATGGAGGACAACCCTAATAAATTACAACATTATATTCAAAACCCAGATACAATCTCACAGATAGCTATTAATAATTATTCAAGAGTTAACATTAGAGAGATTAAAACTTTTGCTACCCTGGACAGAGAATATAGGTGGCAGCTAGAACAATAATGAGTAAGAAGATATTGACAATTAATGAGGCCAAGCACAAGAGCAGGCAAACAGGAACACTGGTTCTCTGCCCATTGCTCACAAACTCTAGAGATGTGGTAGTTTTCTTAAAAGGTCAAATTACTTCAATAGCTACATGTGTCACTGACTTTGCTTTAACCTAGTACTGTGATTCTCACAAAGCAATGTACACAAATGGTCCTTGCTTACGATGGGTTACAAACTGATAAATCCATCGTAGGTTAAAAATATCATAAGTTGAAAATGCATTTAATACACCTGACCTACTGAACATCATAGCTTAGCCTAGCCTACCTTACACTACTCAAAACACTTACATTAGCCTGCAGTTGGGCAAAATCATCTAACACAGAGCCTTTTTTATAATAAAGTGTTGACTATCTCACAAAACTTATCGAATAATGTAATGAAAGTGAAAAACAGAACGGTTGTTTGGGTGCAAAATATAGTTTCTACTAAATGCAGATCACTTTCAAACCATCATAAAGTTGAAAAATCCTAAATCAAACCATTATAACTTGGGGGCTATCAGTACTAAGGAATTAAAATATACCTAAAATCCAAATCACTCTTTACCATCTTAACCCCTGTTACCCTGACCCAAGCAGTGATGTTAAACTTGTTACTATATCTCTGCACAAAACTCTCCAATTCCTTTCCAGGTGATTTACAGCAAAAGCCCAAGTCCTTCCTACAAGGCCCTCTGTGATATGACCCCCTGCATCTTTCAGATCTCATCTCTTACTACTCTTCCCCTTGCTCCTCCATTCTAGCCACAAAGACCTCCTTGCACTTCCTCAAACACCTCAGAACTGTGCACCTGCTGCTCCCTCTGACTAGAATGCTATTCCCCCAGATGTGCATAGACAATTCATTCCCTACTTCCTAGTTAGACAAGACTGTGCCAGACACAGGATTTAAATCCAGGTCTGCCTGACTCCAAAGTAGATTTTAACCACTAAACAACACTGCCTCTTAGTTACAGCTTTTTACTCTTGAGTTTCTCTATGACATTTGTATTAATGTTTTCTAACATTATGAAATTCCTAAGTTAAATAATACCATCTTGCACCAAACTTACAATTCTGAAAACAGTGAATAGCTTCTAACCTATCTACTCAAATATATCTTCAAACCAAACTTTTAGCCTCTCCTGACCAGATATATTTTGGTCAAAAATTGGCTATTACAGATTATACTGATATCTGGATCATCAATTCAAGAAGTATTTTTAAAAACATATTATGTAACAGGCATAAGCCAGACCATGGGGTGGGAGGGATGACAAAGATTAAAAACACATACATACATACTCCTTTTCTTAAGTCAGGTCAAAGTTTCTGAATTTCAAACCACCGTTGCAAATAACCTTTAAATACACAATCCAATTGTCAGTAAAGAAGACCAGTTATGATGATTCAGTTAAGTAAATTAAGCAACTGACTTGGATTAGGCTGTTACTGAAAAAAAGTTATCAAAAAAGATTGAGCACAAATTTAAAAACCTGACACATAAATTTATAAATCATGAATAAAACACAATCAGTTTATTCTGAGTAAGTAACATAAAATATAATAAAACCAGAAAAAAGTTAAAATAACGATTTGTGGCCTTAACTACATCTGACTTGTGGCATGTTTAGAGTTCTACTGTTTCTTTGACAACAGTTGCTGTCTGCTAGAGTACAAAGGAACTAAATGGAAGTATCTCAAAAAGCAAGGTCTTTAGTGGCAGAGGCTATTAATTTAATGCAGACCTATGCCAAACATATTGTAAACATGTCCAAAAATCTACTTACACACACAAAGTGAGAGTCAGAGCAACTTTTAGTTCTCAAAAATAAAGACATCTGGTGAACAATTACACTAAAATCTTTACCATGATAATGTTGATGGAAGTACCCTGAAAACCCAGAAAAATGGGGGAGGGGGAGCCCACTCTTTTTTTAAGACATTAAAATTAAGACTTGGATTTTCGCAAATTTCCAAACCTTCAAAGTGTGAGGCTCTTTTAAAATGTTACTCAACAAGGTAACTTGTTAAGGTTAAAAGCAAAAGACTGCTCACTCTGGGCCGGCCCGGTGGCGCACTGCTGTCAACAAGGTAACTTGTTAAGGTTAAAAGCAAAAGACTGCTCACTCTGGGCCGGCCCGGTGGTGCACTGCTGTAGTGCGCCACTTGAGAAACGCGGTGGCGCTCCCGCCGAGGGTTCGGATCCCACATACAGACCGGTTCCCGCTCACTGGCTGAGCGAGGCGCGGGAGCGACACCGAGGGTTGCGATCCCGTTGCTGGTCCCAGTCCGGTACGGGCGCGACACTGAGGGTTGCGATCCGTTGCCGGACACGGAAAAAGACAAAAAAAGGAAAAAAGACTGCTCACTCTGAAGGCCCTTGAGCTCTGGGTCTCTCTCAATCTGGTTCCACTTTCCATTTTCTTCCTCAGCTAACCCCCAACCACAGTCAAACAAGAATATCGACCCTTTTCCATTTTAAATTACCTAGCACTGCTAGAGGAGAAAACCACATTACCATGCAGAACTGATACCGCCACCCGTTTATGCTAAAACAATCTCAGCTGCACTCTCAACAAAGCCATCCCTGGTCAGCACCTCCAAAGTCAGCTACTAAACTATTAATAATATCATATATCCCTAATCCTCCCTTCTCCTTTAGCAAATGACCCAGATCTCTTGAACCTAGAGACTTGCCACTTCCAAGCTGTATACTTTGAGCAAGTTAACCTCTTTATTAGTCTCCAAGCTGTATACTTTGAGCTTCCTCAGTAGAAGAATGGCAAATACCCATATTACCACACCTCACAGTTGTTGCAAGAATTATATGGTAGGAGTCATTTAATCTGAGTGCCTATCACATCCCAGGCATTACACTGAAGACAAAAAAAGTAAACAAGACACACAAAACTCCTGATGTCTGGAAGCTTACATTGGGACCTAAATTGGATGTAGGCAGAAAAGCTGTCTTTTCTGAGAAGGTGACATAATAGCTGAATATAAAGGGATAAGCATCTCCAAGTAAAACCAAGAGATAGGTCAAGAGTGAGAACAGTCTGGGCAAAAGAAACAAGTCCAAAGGCACCAGAATTGAGCTTGACAAATTCAAGCAACAGAAAGAAAGCCAGTGTGGCTCAAACCTAGATAGCAAAAAGGGCACAAGATGCCTACCTTAAAGGCCTCACTTTCGTACCCTGCAGGCCATAATAAGGAGTTTGGACCTGAAGTGTGATGGAAAGCCACAGAAGATTCATTTTTAGTAGGACATGGTCCAGTTTACATTTTTAAAATATCATTTTGGCTACTGTATGGTGAAGACAATGTAGAAAAAGCAGGACTAGAAACAGAGAGACTTCTTTGGAAACTACTACTTTAAATCCAGGCTAGGAGTGGGTGGCAGCCACAGAAGTAATGAAGTGAACTACAATGAGCTCTTTATTAGAACCAGCAGGACTTCCCAATGGGTTGAATATGTAGGATAAGAGAAATCAAAGATGTCTCCAGGGTTTTGGGCTTTCCCAGATCTATACCTGGCACCCAATACGTACTCAATGAAAGTTAGTGATTTCTCTCCTTGAAGACTTTTCTTAGCCTTTTCCATATTCTTTACTTTGCAGTCATCTCCTTTGCTACAAGAATTTTTTTTTACCTAATCTTCTCACATGTATTATCAAATCCAACTGATTCCTATCTGACTTGATCTCTCTGTGGCCCCTGACAATAACTGACCAAGGCTTTCAGTCTATTACTCTGCTGGCTTCTTAAAAGCTAATGTTTCCCTTGGGCTCAGTACTTAGACTTCTTCCCTTCTAGCATCATTCTTTGATCTCCTAAGTGTCCACAGCTTCAGTACATGTTGATGTATGCTGATGACTCAAGTTTATCTTAAGCGTAGACAATGCTCCTGAACAATATCCACATATAGTTAGTTTTCTCTAAACTTCACCTGAAATGTCCCAGAGGCAACCCATACACAGTACTCAATATCTAAAACCATCTTTCTCCTCAAACCTGTTCCCCCTTCCTGAATGTGATCTTCTAAGAGGTATCATCTTAAGTGATATCTTAGTGAATGGTACCAAAACTTCTACTACATTCCCCAAGCCAAAAACACAGCAGTCTATCCTTATATTCCAGTTGTCACCAAGTCCAGTGCATTTTGCATTAAATAATTCACATTCATGTCCTCAATCACTGCCCTAGATTCAGACATTCATTTTTTACCTGGTATGTATCCCTTTGCCTCCTCCAACCCATCATCTACTTTGCTTTCAGAGTAGGTTTTGTAATTCGGATCATTTCATTTCCTTCCTCTAAATTCTTCAGAGATCTTCGTAATCATATGATAAAACTGAAAAACCCCTGCTGGGATTTAAAGTCTTTGATGGCCTGGTCTCTATTTGTTCAGCCTTTAACTCCTAGCACTTGTCTCCTCATATTTTACGTTCCAGTGCTACTGAACAACTTGTATTGTCCCCAAAACAAAACAGTTATGGAATCCTTACCATGTGCCAGGCACTGTACTAAGCATGTAATACAAAAAGTACCTCACTTATATTCATAAAAATCCTTTCAAGTAAGTCCTATTTATTCCTATTTTACAGATGAGAAATCTGCCCTAGAGTGATAAAAACTTTACTGAGATTACAGTTATCATGAAACCAGATTTGTACCCAAGAGTCTCTGACTCAGAGCTAGGGATCTCGACCACCTTGCATACTGGTCCTCAAATGATTCTCAAAATCCATACATTTTCTCTCCCTACTGAATTGCAACCTCCTCTCTATAGTTTTTGGGTTTGGTTTTTTCTTCTTCAATTTTATTTATATTTATTTGGGGGATACAGTGTGGTGTTTGAATTCATGCATAAATTGCACAATGATTCACTTTAATACTTCCCTAGTCAGCAACTATTCTGCTATGTATGCTTAGTGCACTTCATACACAAATCCATTACGGTAGTTATCTTATATTTTAATGATGTGTTGACTTGTCTATCTCTCCACTAGACTGCAAACACCCTCACTACAATCTCTTCATCTTTACACTCCTGGTTCCCATTTCAGCACTTGCCACTAATGTACACTGTTTACTGAATGAATGAAAAATGTGATACAGTTTATGTCACATGAACATTTCCCCTTTATTCCTAATGGGATGGTCTTATACAAAATACATACATTCTAACTAACATAGTATTAAGTGACCTGAATTCCAAATTAGCTACTGTTAAAGCAGCCCTTGGGAAAATCTAGAGGGAAACAGACAGCCATCATCAAAGTTCTGACGCTACTTATCATTACCAATTTTTAAAAATAATTTAAATTAACCTGTTCGTCTTTGTGAAAACATCATCTCAAGATTTAAAAAGAACATTTCCTGTTAACATAGTTCTTATCGTGATCATTGTCCCCACACCCATAGTTTCTATTTCAAAGTTTGTGGATGGTCCAGAGAATTTGCATTTCTAACAAACTAATGCTGCAGCTGGTCTATAGACCACACTTCTGAGAACCACTGTTGCACAGAACTAGACTAAAAGTCAGGAAACCTGTGTCCTGAAGCCCCTATTCTGCCTCTAACTGGCTGTATATACCTCTATGATAGATACTTGGATTTCTTTGGGTCTCAGTTTTTTCCTGTACATTGTAAAAAGGTAAGAACTTTCAGCAATACTGGAGTTGTAAGGACTTTCAGTAGTAATTTGCATTTCTAATGAGTTACCAGGTGATTCTGATACTGCTGGTCACACATTAAGAGCCGCATATTAAGAACCAAGGTACTAAAGCTAACCATGTCTACCTTACGCAATTCTCCTACATATATACAACCAAAGGAATGCATGTGTTAATTTGCATTTCTAATGAGTTACCAGGTGATTCTGATACTGCTGGTCACACATTAAGAGCCACATATTAAGAACCAAGGTACTAAAGCTAACCATGTCTACCTTACGCAATTCTCCTACATATATACAACCAAACAAAGGAATGCATGTGGTCACCTAAATCCATGTACAAGAGTGTTCACAGCGGCTTTATTCATACTAGCTAATAACTAGAAATAACCCAAATGCCCATGGTAGAATAGTACACAGCAATAGTACACAGCAATGAAAAAACTACCACTTCACACAACAATATGGATGTATACTCACACACTGATTAAAGCTAAAATAGAGTACTTACACTCAGAGCACTTATGATTTTGTTTATGAGTGCAAGAAAAAAAAAGCAAAACTAACTGGCAGTGATGGAGGTGAGAATAGGAATCAGCTGGAGAGTAAGGGGAATTATTGGCCAGGAAGAAACATGAAGGAGCCTTGTGGATGGAGATGTTCTTATCTTGATGTGAATGGTGTACACATATGTAAAAGTTCATCAAACTGTAGACTTAAAACTTATTTACATATACCATATCTCAATAAAAACCTTAAATAAAATAAGCAAAATAGAAAGTGAAAATGAAATTCATTACACTAATGTCCTTTAAAAGTAACTTTTATATAAATTTGATTTCCTAACAGGACCATAACAAATGTAGATTCAGAAAATTAATAGCTGTCTAGCTGACATAAGGAATTGTGGAGCAAAAGTCTCAGTGCTTCCTGTAGCATCATCCCAATACTGATCCCAGAGAAGCCTTAATCAATCACCGTATTTAAAGGCCTTTATATCCAGATCCAAAAAACATACCCAGAACTAAAAAGCCTTACCAGACCTAGTCCTTCGTTTCCTGTCTAACCCTATCTCCTACTTCCTACTCCTCTTTCATCCCACTTTAATCAAATGAGCCTTTTTGCTGCGCCCTGTACAGTCAACTTCATTCCTACCTCAGGATCTTGGAACTGGCTATTCTTCCTGCCAGGAATGCTCTTTCCCACAAAGCTTCCAAGCTCACTCCCTCATTTCTTCAGGTCTCAAAAAACCTCCTCATAGAAGCTCTAGTACCCTGTGGCAAACTTCTTTTACAAGTCATAGCTAGAACAAAGTCTGTCTCGGCTCAAATTGCTAACCTTAACTTACGTTAGACATAAAACCATAACAAGGTTCCCTCTTTTCTGTGATCGAAAGCAATAAACTCCTGACTAAATTTTGTGACCCCCGGCATCATGTACCTTTAACCTGAGCTCTCTTTATTTTAATTCTTATCATTTAACTCTTGCTCTTTTACATTCCTTTGCAGCTTTACAGTGTGTCTCCCACTGCAAAGTGCTTTCTAAGTCACATAAGTATATAAAGAAGACTTTAATTCATAGCAATCAGAGTCTTGCACACAACTCCAAAAAAATTTTTGGATGAATAAACAAACGAGTGAATAATGAAAAGTGACAGGATATCTGAAAAGTTTCAAGGACATAAAGGAAAAGGTTTCTGTTCCAGTAAACTGAGTTCATACACTTAACACAGCACCTGGCACCTTAAGAATAGCGAGGATGGGCTGGCCGGTTAGTTTAGCTGGTGAGAGCGCTGTGTTATAATACTAAGGTCAAGGGTTCGGATCCCCGCACCGGCCAGCCAAAAAAAAAACTGAATTAATTAATATCACCAAGCCCAGATTTCACTTTTTTCTTATAATCATAAATGCCATTAAAAAAATTCCTCTCAGGCCAACTACCTATGCACCCAAGAAATAAAATACAGGTTTATTCTCGGGACCCGCGGGGATGCAGTAGTCTTGGAGGGGCAAGAGAAAGAACAAAGGTCTGGG